TCCGTCCAGTTCGCCGTTCCAGGAAAGACAGAACCTGGGAAGTGAGTTTCCATAAGAATCTCAGCACTCTCCTGGAGGTTGGCGGCTTTGTCGCCATTTTCCCTCGTCAGGATGCCGATACTCTAATGGTGGTCATTTGAGATTGCCTTCTGTAGCCTAGAAGCTAGTGGGAAGTCTTCGACTGCCTCATAATAGGCTCTCCAGGCTTCTCTTTGCTTTCTTCTGCAGACTTTCTTGAACTCTCTGAGGTTTGCTTGATATATACCCCAGTCCTGTACGTTTCGCCTTGTTGAAGGTCGTTCTCGCTGTCTTTCTGAGGTGTTCCAATTCAGGGCACCACCATGTGTTGGTTGTGCCATGTGTTTGAACCATCCTCATCGGACAGGATTCCTTATAGGCATTGCATTACAAGGAGTAATCACCATCAGATGCTACAGCCCAAACTGAATAGCACTCATATCAATTCAGTTGTATCAACCTGGAGATATGGAGTATGTTTCTGGGGATTATTCAGTTCATTTCCCAAAAGCGAATTATTCGTATTTTAGTTGTATTACAAAAAGATAATCTTGCAGGGATTTTTGAGAAATCTAAGAATTCTAACGTTACCGTCATTGGTTATTTTCGAATTTCATTTGTATTTATATAATAATTATAGTGATTTCGATAAATTCGTAAATTCGACACACGCCAAAAAAAGGTTTTCATATTTCACTCAGTAACTCATTATAATTCATGTACTACCTGGAGAGTTGAAAGGTTCTGAAATGATTCACAGTTTCAAAAAACATTTAAAACAATTTGTGGTGACCGACTGTAGACGCGCTCCTGATCTAAGTTTACAGGTAGGTCAGTTGGAGTCGTAAGCTCGACATCTTTCTTCTCTATAGACTCAGCGTCAGAAAGAATTTTTAAGTTCACTCTGTCTATAAAGGTCCTACGAGTAGCTGGGGAAAGGAGGTCAATCACGTCAGGGCCCCGCATTACCGTGATAAGGCGATGCTACGACGAGAGGGCGCCCGGTATCTCGAAGGTTCCGTAGAGACAGCTGATAGGCTCGGTGTCACTCATTCTCGCGGTACGGATACACACACCTTAGGATCAAGCCATCGTTAGGATGCCAGAACCACAAGTGATTCTGTCATTCCCGTATCCAGCGGGGCTACGTGGAAGCAGGTATTCGATGGCCGGTTTGCTCAACCTCCACATCCCAAGCCAATGCACTCGCCGAAAACAGCATGCACAGTGGTTCAGGCAGTGAAATATGAACAAGCACAGCCAACCCGCTGTGTTTGTTGAGTTTGTTTAGCCATTTCAATTCTGATTTTGGTTTGCCTCTTTACACAAACCCAATAAAATTATCAGTTGTCAAATGGAGAATGATTTATTACTCGTATTATAATTCTACATTAAGAAATATTCCAATGAAGATGCTTACTCCGACACCAATGTTTCTCAATTATTGTCCAATACAATTATCTAAATTGATAAAAATGACGTATAGCTAATTCATCTGCGAACAGTAGTCCATTGCAGTCTTTTTTCTTCAGTTGTTTCTTTTGCTTCTGCTTCAAGTTGGTGGTGATGTATTTAGAATTTATATTCAGTTGACATTTCAACAATATTTTCGATTTTATCAGATCTCATTAACGGATACTGAATTAGAATGAATATCATACGCTGATGAAATTGATAAGAAGTTATTTTTGCAGACTGGGAAAATGAGCTCCTGAAGTATTTAAATAAAGTGATATGTTCCCTTGTCATTTGTTACTGAATAAATATCAACATTCTGAATATTCAGATTTCTCAATGATTATGTCATCTGTTTTTGTAGCTCCGTATAAATATTTATTGTGTTATATAATAATGTATGTGGAATTTTAACTTTTTGCCTCTTTTTAGCTTATTACTTAATGTGTCTGTTTTTAATTTTTGAACAGATCAAAAAATATATAATAATCTGAAATCCAAAATCCGACAGTCATTAAAATAAACTGAATGTCAAGCAACAATTGAAAATGAATGCTTGATGTAGAATATGAAGTGTGTTGCATTTTCAATTACCAACACCCCCAATGAAATGCGGTTGAACATGAAGATTTATTTTCACTGAACGTATATCATGTTTTTGTCAAAATATTAGCAGCCATGTCTTCCATTCTAAAACGCACCATATCTTTATATCCATCTTGTAGTTTTTATTTGACAAAATGATGGTTTATATCAATGTGCTTTTGTCTTGCACGGTAACCATCGTTGGTTGCTAGATTTATTGCACTCTTGTTTAAAAAATCTGTTTAAAATCTGTTTTTCCGTTAACCAGCTGTCGCACCCCTACGAACGACAACCCTCAGAAGTCGAAACTTGTGCGAGCTAAGGATTAACGAGGTCTTACCTTTTAACGTGTGATTCCTAACACAGTATATCAAAAGTGGCTTCTTAAACATTTCTAGCCATATTTCCTCTTCAAACTGCTTCAACCGGAGATCTTACGTAGCTGTTCACAGTGCCATATATTCGACTTCCGATGTCTTTAACGCAAGAGTATGCTGTCTTTTACAATTACAGAAAATCGGCTATCCTTGGTGCAGAAAAACATGTCCAGTACACGATCTTTTTTTATCGTCAACATCGCTTGCCCAACCAGAATCCTGTTATTCTGGAATCAGAATCCTTTGTGTATACCAATTTAGCATGCATCCTTTCTTTCAGGTATCGACATTTTTTTTCTTTCTGTCCAATGAGCCTGGTCGTGATTTTGATCAACAATATTAACAGAATAAATGATTTCTGGACTGGTTTCTTTCGAAACATAAAATACTACCAATGACTTCCTGATACGGTGTTTTGGTAACTTTTTTTTCATTCTTTGGAGACATCTCTTGTGTTGTCTTTTGATATGGGTCCGATAGAGTCAAAGCGGGTTTGCAATCTGCCATGTTGAACTTCCCAACGTAAATTATAGTTCATTCCGGGTCTTAGAACGAAATTTTATGTTCTTTCAGAAAAGTCGGACATCTTCAAAAACTTCGACCCGGAATAAACAATAATTTCCAGGTAATTCAAAAACGATAATGATTTTTGGCCAATGTTTCTCTACGAATTCAAATTGAACCAGAGTGCAGCCAAAACAGCTTGAAAAATTAACCAGTCTTTCAATAATAGTGTTTATGAACGCACAAAAAGTGAGTGCTTCACGATTTGAAAGATTGTTAGAAATTGTCACTTTTCGATGATAGAAAGCGGATCCTCTATGACAACAGAAGACGTTCAGGACAGTGGTTGGATACCGATGAGCCATCCAGGCACTCCCCAAAGACGAAAACCTACCAAAAAAGACCATGGTTATTGTATGGCATTCAGCGGCAGGTGTAGTTTTTCTGGAAATCGAGATAACCCATTTCTTACACTCAGAAACTCACCCCCTCCCACCTCCCGAACTCAGATCACCCGTTATTTATTTTTCCTTTCATTTCTATCATATTCCCCTTCTTCTATAATGGATTTCATCCTACTGTTATTTATTTTGGTTTCAAAAAGTATCGACCATGGTCTATATAAAAACGAACAAAACTTTTGGAACAACCAGTATCATCAATTTAGAAAAAACGTAATATCAATTCATTTTTCAGGTGACGTACTGGTCACTTAAGGAAAACGGAGGAAGTGAGAACTACATAAGTGTACTAAAGAACTTAGATAGTGTAGTAGACGAAATAAGATATAATAACGGGAGAGTTCCTTATCTACTTTGGGATTGCACGGGCACCAAGTTAGGTGAGTAACAGATGATTTTCCGAAAGAATACTTTGTGAAGGGTTCATCACTTATGTGGATATCACCGACGCATTTGGTAATTTGAAGCCAGCTTTGAGACATTTTTTGTGAATGATTTGGGAGATAAATGATAATAATAAACTTTCTATTTCACTACAGAACATACTGTTGCCCCTATCAAATCATATGAAAGAACAATTTGTTCAGGCCAGTCTCAACTCCTTACACTGTAGGCTAATGGACTGACACCTATCCGAAAACAACTACTTTCCTGGCTAATACCACGAAGAACGTTGAATTATATTCAACAGGTGTCAGTGTAGGATTTTTCACTGAGGTTTTTCCTGCATATGCTGCTGGCGATGCAACTGCCGCAATAGATTTTCAATTATTTTAACACACTTGCAGACCAGTTTCGAGCTGTTTGGCCATTCGTCAGTGCAAGGCAGTGTCTATTATCAATATAAAGTCGATGAATTTCGATAATTGAAAATCGATATCCTTCGGAGTATCATTGGGCAAATTTCGGATATGCGGTTGGTTACCTCGTTCACAGGCAGATGGGGCGATGACAAACCTGTTGTTTGTTGTCCGTTTCAGCCCTGTTCGAGGAATGATACTCTGAAGGAATTTGATTTTCAATTATCGGAAATCATCGACTTTATGTTGATGATAGACACTACTTTGCATTGACGAATGGCCAAACAACCCGAAACCTGTCTGCAAGTGTGTTCCAATAATTGAAAATCTATTGCGGCAGTTATATCACTAACAGCATATGCAGGACTAACTTCAGTGAAGAATCCTTCACTGACACTTGTCGGATATAATCATCGAACGTTCTTCGTGGTATTAGCCAGGACAGCAGTTGTTTTCTGATAGATGTCAGTCCATTAACCTAAAGTGTAGAGAATTGAGACTGACCTGAACGAATTATTCTTTCAGATTGCTTGATTTATAGCCAGTCTTCAAGTATGCCCACTGACTATATGTGAAAATGTTGTCTTTATATTCTTGAATTATATTCTCAACCGCTGTTGGGGCATTTTAGAAGGGGCAACTTAGGAATGTTAAGTGTCATCATAATATCCATGCCATCAAAATATTACCAGTGAAAAAGCACAAGTTTGATGAAGTTCCCATTGAACTTGTCCAGGATAACTTGGATATTCTTACTCTACCAAATGTACACCAAACAAACTCATGTATTTTTACTGTAGACTGCCACAATCTTCTTGAAATTGCGCTGATGATTCCTTCAAAAAAGAGGTGACAGCAGAAATATAGAGAATTATCGCCTCTCATCGGTCATCATCGTTTTTCTTGAATTTTCATTACATCACCAATAATTGAAAATAATTTTGCAAAAATATTGGAATGAACTGAAGTAATTGAATTGAAAGCAGTTTATTTTCAGGTTAGTTTTTGGAAAAAAAAATGTAATAAACGTATGTATATAGATAGATAGATATATATTCGTATTCGTAAATTCGTCTCGTTTCGAAACTTCGAAGTTAACCGTTGAGGATTGGGATGTTGAGTTTTCTTATTATTCGCAACGTTACTTGGATACAAATGAATCTGCAATCGAACATTTCAAGCAGATATATTATTGAGTTCAAAAAATCCCACTGATTTCAACGAAAAATAATGAAAGCCTGATTTTTCTCAAATGAATACAACTGAGGATTAGATAACAGTTTTACCGATGCCATGTTTGATGGCATTTCTAATAAATTTTGAAGTCATATTCAAAGTAGCACTTGGTAGCTAAATTGTTGTTCGGGAGATCAAGAGGGCCAATGATACTATGCGTATTAGACTCGTCCTATATATTTCTACATCTACATTTTTTTTGTCTTCAGGTCCATATTATTCAGAATCTCATTGATTTGTTTAGGTGGAAAATTTCAGTAATCGTCAGCTTTGTTCCATACTATACATTGGCTTCAAAGGAATACTCATTTGGATATTCGACCACAAAATAAATATTTTTATGATCACGATTCACAGTTTTTGTAACTCACTGTTCCAGTTAGAGTGAAAGTTTGCAATACGTACACACGTACACTACTGTCCGACAATATTCATACGAACTCATGATATCCTCATTACACTCGCTAAAAACAAGCGTTTCTTTTCAAAACAGAATTTTATTTACATTTTTTAATTATTTTATTTCTCAACTCAAAGATCCTGATTTAATTTTGAGATAACAGAACTTCGAATTTTTATATTGAACCTTCGGATGTGACAAAATTATTGAATTACCTGACCTATGGAAACAAAGTATCACGTGATTTGGCTAGATCAAGGGTCTCCAAACTTCGAAGCCTTCAGACCATAATGATATTTTCAGTTTGTTCCAAGGGGCAATTTCTGCCCTTAACTATATTTCTAGACTAGGATAGTCGCAAAGTGCGTGACCTAAGCAAACTTACGCTTTTTTTGCATTTCAATTATTATTGTGTATTGTGACACTTAACGACATCTAGTGGCGAGTAGTGGTACTATGTACTATCTTTTTCAGCTATCCGCTAGGTGGCATTAGACGTAATTGAATATTTGGAATTACCGCGTTGGTTCAAGAAAGTTCTGGTTCTAGCTGGTGTATCCCGATCACCTCGAGATGGCAGTAATAATTGCATATAAAAAGTCTAGCGGCGCAACTACGAGTTAGTCTGCGTAGGAAAGGCGAAGGAAGCGAAACTGTCTATTGTGAAATAAAGTCCTTGTGCGGAAAATGTTTGGATATGTCTGAAGAAACCGATGAGCATCTTAAATCTATTTTGATAATTGGTACAAGTAAAATTGATCCACGACTACAAAGTATTATCGGTGGAAAATCACGATAACATAAATCCCATTAGTGTTTTTGTTTTACTGTGATTCATTTCAATTATTTGTTGGTTATTAATATGCTTAAACTTAGATACTTAAGTTAAGTTTTCTTTGTCATCATTTCTGTCGTTAAGTTTTACCTTGCAAGTAAATAAAACCGAATAATTATCATTCTGTGTTTTCTTCTTCAACTTATCACAGCAATAGTAACAACAATTAGGTAATCATTGGTTGTCGCGGCCTGGATTGATGACACTGGCGGGCCGGATTTGGCCCGCGGGCCGTAGTTTGGAGACCCCTGGGCTAGATGAACAGTCAAGAATTCCAAATCATAGATTTGGATTTGGTTAGGTTAGGTTAGGTTAGGTCCAAAGAGAGTGGGTCTCTTCAACCCTCCACCGCAATACACGAGGGTTCATTGTGGCTCACACACATCCAAATTCGACCAAATAAACGCAGTTTTTTAACGAAGCTGATTAGTTTGTATGGTGGGTGGTCTTTCAGGTCAGATGGTAAGATTATGGCTCTGCCGAACTCTAAATGACAGTAACCTGTAAGAAGACCTATTAAACATTGTTGTTCATTCCTTCTGTAGTCCAACAACTGTTTGGTGTCAAGCTTCGGAGGGTGAACTAACGCCTTGGAGTGAGCCTGGAAGATTATGCGCCTGGAAGATTATGCCAGTTAGTAGTTGACAGTTGGAGAAATAAAATCAGAGGTCATTTCCAGAATGCTGAGACTTCCAGTATCGACCAACAGTCTTTTGCACTCTGCAATTAATTGTTTTGTGTTCAATCTCTGTTTGGCAAAGCCTAAAGCGGTGCCAATGACAGTTTCTGGTTCGATGAAGCTGCTTGCCGCACCCTTCTTTGCGAATGAGTTGGCAGCCTCATTGCCTTCCAGGCCAGTATGGCCAAGAATTCAGACCAGAGACAATCTGTTGAGTCTTCATATCTAGGAGAGTCGTTTTTGACAATTTGCTACCAATTTAGATGTTGCTTAGTAGGAGCGAAGAGATTCCGACGCCGCTTGACTGTCCAAGAATATTTTTATTGACTTGTGTATGAGGCTGGTTTCTTCCAATCTCTCCCCACACAATTGATCCAATAACGTAAATTTCTGCTTGAAATACAGTCGCATGGGTTCCTAGGCAGGTTGATATTTCTGTTCTGAGTCTGCAGCTGAAAACACCTGCACCAGAACAGTAGGAGCTGTTTTTGATCCATCTGTCAACCAACAGTTATCTGCTTTTAATATTTCCTTCAGCCGGAGGATCTAGTCTTCCCTACTCGGGAACAGTACTCTTTGAGGTAGTTCGTAGTTGACGAAGGCATAAAGTCAGATGTCAATTCCAGAACGCTGTGACTTTCAATGTTAATCAGCAGTTTTGCACTCTGCAATAAATTGATTTGTGCAATTGGCAATGTGCACAAGCCTCTAGCCACTCTTTCCAGAAAAATGTGGAGAGGAGGTAGATCTAGAAGGATCTACATGGCCGCTGACGGTGTGGTACTGATGGCACCACTGATGGCGGGACGAGCCTGTTTCTGTGAGCCAGAGAGCTTCGCCTGGGCCGTTTTCTGTAAAGCCTTCGGTCACCGGGCTATCGCACCGCACCATAAGTGATCATTGGTCTGACAAATCTGGGATATACTCCTAATGATAAAATCAAATCATTTGATTGCCTAAATTTTTTTCATGATATCATAAACTACACGTTACGATTTGATCTTCACAAATTTCATTTTCAGAAATATATCAGAGCATATATTTCTGAAAATGAAGTTTGTAAAGATCAAATTTTAAGGTGTAGTTTATGAAATGAACTCATAACTAATATGAAAACCTTGTTTCATGTAATGAAAAATGCTTATTATATATTTTTTTTGGTATATTACAGCTACTGCTAGTTCTGATGAAAATTTGTGCATATGGGATTTCTTTGGGACATCCTCGAAGTTGGAGAAGAAGTATTTGAAAACGAAGAAGAAGACTTTCACCATGAATATGTTCTCCAACTTATACGCATTTGGTGATAGCATAAGGTGAATACAGCGAAGGTGTAAAACTGTTTTTCAATTCCACAGTTTTCAATTGATTGATTTGTTTTAAATGCGTTTTATATTCTTGATGCAATTGTAGTGAGAGATTTTATTTTTCCAAATAGAAAGAGGGTAATATTCAGACGTTTTTAAATATTGGATAGATATAATTTGATTATCAAATAGGGTTTTGCTGACGTTTCAGACATCACATAAACTAAATCGGTAACCTATACAGGGTGTTCCTTAAACACATGCTAATATTTAAGGAGGTAATTCTTAGATTCATTTTAAGAAAACAACTTTCCATGGACGTATGTTTTGAACGCCTTAACTTTTGAGATACAGGGTGGCAAAGTTTTCAAAAATAATCAGTTTTTTAATAATAACTGAGATAATTTTGTAGACATTTTTGGCATATTTGGTACATATGTTCCATGCCTTAAGGCGCATTTTCTGATGTACACAAATTTGTATTTTTTCAAACAGTGGCATCCCTACGGGTTTCGCATTGAATATTTTTGGGAAAAAAGTACTACGCCAATGCTTTCTTTTCAAAATAAAATCATTTTTAAAATCCTCATTTATTTTTGAGAAAATTTGATCTCCTGGTATTT